GGTTCCAGCCCATGCAGGGGATTGCAATGATTACTCCTGATCGTTCGTGCCGTTCGACTCGATCCTTGCCTTTGAAAATAAACGATCGCACGGTTCCTTCAGTTTTAAGGGCAATCTTGATTTTCATCGGTCGGAGTATTCGTTCGATGGCTTCTGACGTACCACGTATGTAAGGTAGCATTATCAAAATTCCTTCTTTTGTAAGTGTTGTATGTATTTTACATCTGAGGCACGCTTTGATCAAACTCCCGGGATATGCGTTTAATAAGGACAGTTGAAAGAGTCGATTTCTTTCTCTTATTCCTAGCTCTGGTGTGCTTCAATGTGTGTTTGTTCGGTGGATTAGAGTTCGCACACACCATTCCAAGTGGCACATCGGGTGGTCGCTGTTGTAATCGAGGATATGATCTGTCGTGATCGGTATTCGGTAGACCGTGGTTTCTATTCCTCCAACAGGTTGCCTCATGAAATTAATGTCGAGTGTGTCGTCCGCATAGGAAGTTGTAAAATTTCAAACGATTTGGCTTCTAAGTGTTTCATAAGCTCATCCGCAAGCAGGCGTGAGAGTGTTGAACCTGTTGAAGTTCCTCGTATCTGCAGGTACAAACAAAATATGGTACAATAATCTTTATCAAAGGTAAAACGTTCCACGATTTGCAAGTGGGCCGAATATTGCCAGGTTGCCCAGGCCAAGGCAGGTGAAGTTTCTTGAGGAATTCTCTAATCTGAGCCTTTGGCTAGCCAAAGCCTGATCCGCAAGGCAGCGGAGCGGTGTGCGAAAACCTCAATCCATTGGGAGCCGGTATCCAGTTCATCGGATCATACGCCTTTAGGACGGGGGCAAACATCCGAAGTGCCCAATACACCTTGATACCCAATCGAGCCGGTGACCATTGCCACAACCGGAAAGGTGTGGGTGTAGTTCGTACGCCTCCTCTTGGTTGATTTGGAATCAGGTCTTTTAGCCAACCCTCCTTTGGTGAACTGCCAGTGGTTCACCAACCCGGTTATAGCCCCGGATGTCGGCTTCTCGTCCTATCACTGTTGCAAAACACCGCCACGAGAAAGCAGGAAGAAGGACTTCCACAGCAGAGGCTGTTTGAGAGGCTTGGTTGTATGGGAGCATTGCGCGAGGTGCAAGGGACGGGGCACCAGCCGCAACCCTAGACACCCACCTCCGACCATACTTAGAATTTCATTGTTAACTTTTCTCAAACGATGCTGGACTTTGATTGAATGACCTTCACCCTTCTCTTGCATTGTATGTAGGGAATTTAGCAGAATCGGTTGTGTTATTTTTCTGCAAAGTGGTAACCACCCTTTCAAAGCTGAGTAAGCACTAATGTTGAGCTCCTATGAAAGTGAAACTCTTGTGAAGTGTACGACTGAATGGATTGGTTTGTTCTTGTGCGTGAGCATTTACTGTAGATGATTCTCAGTTCAAATCGATACCTCGCTACAGACAATTTTCTCATAATGTTGAAGTTCAGTTCACTTTTAGTTGTGGGAACCATTAAGTATAGGTTTACATGCACCGGTTTTGATTGCAGTCTTTTGGCCATTCATTGGGATAAAAGAGCTGCAAGTAAAGATCGGTATGTTCAACGGGGAGTCAAAGACAAGATAGAGAATTCATATAGGTTTGTAAGAATACAGTAGATTCACGTTCGCTACTGTTTACGACATCTAGTCATATCGCTGAGTCATATCACAGCCCCGGCTACCCTGATCTCTGGGACCCCTTCAACGAGACCTACGGGAACTGTGATTCAGCTTCCTGGATAGGGTTTTCTTACTCTAATGCAAAATCTTAGTTTGACCACCCTTGACAATTTTCCACCCACTTCCGGCTTCATAAAACAGCGTGCACAATGTCGACCTATTTGGTGATGTGCACAATACATGGTACAAACATTGTAGTCTATCGAGGTGGACCACCTGTTCTAGTGGAAAACTGTGATAACCTAGCATCACCATTACCTCTCCGGTTTCACCACCAGACTCGTATACTGCGGCGAAGACAGCGGTGCTCCAAGACAGAAGATTCATTTTTTCATCTTTTTCCCGAAAATTCTCTGCACCTTACAGCAGAATAATCTTGAAGTAATTATTCATATCGTGGGTTGTCGACAGTGGAAGTTCGTATATTACTTCCGGGTGAACGATACGTCTGACATGCTAAGTTTTGAAAGCTATCAACTTCAGAAAATCCCAGTAGTGGCACTCATTTGTTATTTGTTATTAGACATACATTTGTTCGCCGTGCCGTGTTTGCTTTCTTACAGTCAAGGTTTAATGCTGATGTTGAGAAATATCTGAAATGACGTTTCATCATTTGAACTGAAGGCACTGTTATTCAGCCATACCTAATTTCTCAATTGCTATGCGTTCCCAGCACATTTCTTTCGTAGGGATCTGACGAATAGAGGTTTTATTGGTGAACCAACAGGAATGATCGCAAATAGTCCCGCAGGGAAATGCACTCATCCCGATTTCGAAAGATTCTGTGAGATTGTTATCAAAGCGGTTGTAAACAGTTGGAAGACAGAGAGTACGGCAAGAAGCGTGGACAAGAGGATTCTGTGGCCAACGGAATTTACGGATTGTAAGACCGATTTCGAACGCGTTTGCGTCCTGTTGCAGTTTCCAGAAGTGAGAAATTTCCAATTTTGTGAGGGTGAGTACTTTGCATTTTTGTTTCCGGTGCTAGCTTGTCTGACTCCTACTGAACAACCCATACTGTACTAATCTATTTAAACAGCTAGAGATATTTTATTGGTGCGCAGAAAATGTATCCAAGCCCTCCAAGTGTTAGTTACTGTTGCATACCCGCGAGATACAACCATTTATCCAATTATATCTAGTCATCCTCCATGATCTCTGTATGCTCCTCGTTAGTTGGATAAAAAATAAATAATAATTATAACTTAATAACGAGAACACCATTCCATTTCACAACGAGTGGTATCTCACAGGTAAATTCCTGTTGACATTGCGGTCACTTCAGGATGCATTTTTTGTTTAGCTGTACAGAATATATTACCGAATTATGTTCAAGCAAACAACTCCTGATCTTTACAGTATGCACTCGCATCTGATCGATAGCTACACGGTTTCATATTCCACAGTGATTTTGTCTGCTGTTGATTCCTCGCAGTCTGAGAGGAGCTGCGGAGTGGGCAGGGTGCACATTAAGTGACAATCTGGGCCCTTCACCAATTATTTACGTCTCGCAGACCAGGGCTCCTCTATACTCTGAGAAATCTGAAAATAAAATTTCCCGTCTGCCTCGCTATAAATTTGGGGAAAGCGTTGCGGAAGCTGCGAAAGTTTTGGTGTGAAAATATTCTTTGATTTTTCCTCCGTTGGTAGAGGATGATTAGTTCTGAAGTAACTGGTACATTTTACTGACTGCGTGGTACCGCTCTCGTTGTTTGCAGAACTTCTGTGAAATACACTGCATTTTACCT